ACTTTTCGTTTTACCGAACAATCGCGCAAGTCCTGAACGGTCGCGCGAGGGGATGGACGATGCAATTGAAGAAAAGAACGACGACGACGATGAAAAGGGACTACGATACATACGGCGATAAATACATGAACGTCCAGGGACTGCGCTGGAGAAGGGAAAAGGATTTGGGGAGAAGGTGGAAGGAGGAGGAAGGAGGGGTAGGATTAACAGCTGCGAGGAGGAGGAGGTGAAGGAGGGAGGATGAAAACAGTAACAAGGAGCTGCTTTAAGCATCATGGGTTGACCTGCATCGACCTGGAGAGAAACAGTGCAGTCCATGAAATTGATTTCTCCGTCGCCGTCGTTGTCGAAGACCTGGAAGAGCTTCCTTGCAGCACGCCGCTTCATACGCTTGCAACACACTGTGTCACAGCGTCCTCGTGTCATCCGCTCCGCCTCCTGGCCTCGCCTCCTCCTCCTCCTCCTCCCTGTCCTATGCGGCGTCAGCCTCCTGACCGCATGTCTTCAACTCATCTTCCTGCTCCGTTTCAGGAGGTCTTCCAGATGGGGCGCAACTCTCCCAGGCAACCCACCCTTCGGGCTCGTCCACGCGGCCTAACCGGCACCTCTCGTGAGGCGACCCCTGCTGGGACGACCCCTCGCCCTCGAGACTCCCGTCCAGCCGCCTGCCCACGCCCTGCGAGCGAGTCGAGGTGGTCGTCATGGCAAAGGTCGGTCTGCTAGGGGTCGGTCAGGCGGTTGCCCCTCCTTCCCCCTCCTCCTGCTCCTGCTCCTGCTCCTGCTCCTGCTCCTGCTCCTGCTCCTCCTCCTCCTCCTCCTCCTCCTCCTCCTTATCCTAAACACACATCCACCTCCCCCCACACACCCAATCCTGCCCTTTTTTTCCTGCCCCTCCTCCTCCTGCTCCCTCGTCCACCTCCTCCTCCTCCTCCTCCTCCTCCTCCTCCTCTCCTCCTCCTCCTCCTCCTCCTCCTCCTCCCCCCCCCCTCCTCCTGCTATTTGTTCTCCCGGTTGAATGATGCCGAAGGGCCTCCCAACGGGGTGAGAACCCCCCCCCCCCAATTTGTTGCCAGTCTGGGTGGGGGGAGATGGGAACACGGCAGGAACAGACAACATCCAATCGCAGAACCGGATCGGCTCGGATCATGCGTCGGTTCAGCCTCGGCTGCACGAGAACGCCACTTAAACATCAGGCCGCAACGAATCGTGGAAACATGGGGAACGAGCAGGGCGAGGCTGGCAGAAATCGATGATTGAAACAGCGGGCTCTAGCTCCGAGCCCTGACGGCCATCCGGGACGAAATTGGCATCCCCAGAGCGCGGTCAGCGATGCGCAGCTGCTGGAAAGCATCTCGAGGCTGGACAAAACCGGTCAGGGAAAACGAACAAGGCATACACAGAACCGCTCGACAGTAGCTCAAGTGCTCGTTAAACCACATAACGCGCGAGACATGGCTGGGTGGGTGGGTGGGTTCGCTGGCACAGAACATAACACACCCGTGCCCGGCCGCTCCAATGATTCGTTGTTGTTATCTCTTTTTTTTCTGGAAACACTTTCCCTGTTGTTATTTTGGAGCTGCTGTAGCGACATGGCCTTGCAGCTGCCATTGCCACAAGGCGCGTTACACCGCAATGTCTGCTCGAACCACGCATGGTGATGCAGCCCACGCATGCACCACACTGCCTGTGCACATCACAATGACTGGGTGCATGGCAGTGCTCCTCTGCATTACAACACCTGTGTATACGACTGCGAACGCGTACGCAAAAACGACTTTGTACAACACAGCTGCGGCCACATTAGCACGTTCCGCGTGTACCACAGCGCCTGTGTACAACACGATCCACACGTACACCACAGTAGCCGCGCGCAGCGCGGCGACTGGCGCCTGCGTGCGCCACATAGTGCATGTACACCACAAAGTCGGCCCCGACGAAGCCCGCAAACCGAAACTCGTGTTCGTATGGGGGGGGCGAACGAATCAAATTGAATATGCACGTGTGTTGCGGATATTGTTGCTTTGCCCCGATGGAGACCATTCCGGCAAGATGTTCAAACTGCGTGCGGCCGCGGCGACGAACATCCCTCCAGAGGGGGGGCCTTCGGCGCCTCGATGTCACGCGCGCCGCGGTTTCGTCCGAGAAGGTCCTGGCCCAAGGGGCTCCCACGAGGGTTCTGGGGAGGCTCAAGACGGCCGCGAGACGACCGAAGAAAAACCCATGACTGCCCCAGCGGCTCCCAAAATTGGGGGCACCAACTCACATCTCGAGCCTTCCGCCCAAAATCGCCCCCAGGAGGCCCCACTGTGCGCCCAAGACGCCCCGTGAGAAGTCAACGATAAACCAAAGAACGCGCCCAAGAGGGCACCAGAAACCTCAAATCCTTCACTTTCCCTCATTGCTCCCGGCATCTGCCCGTCATCATCCTCGAAGTCCTCGTCCTCCTCGATGTTTGATCGTCCTCGTTATCCTCGTCCACCTCTGCCTTCTTCTCCCAATTCTCCCCCTCCTAACTTACGCCCAGGGTCGGCGGCACCGGCAAAACATCCTTCCCATTAAACTTGGTCGGTAAGGGATCACGGAGTGGTCACTGCGCCCTGGTCGCCGCCTTTGTACTACAGGAGTTGTTCCAATAAAGAGTGGCGCACCACAGTCACCGGAGTACCGCCTGCCACGTAGCAGCCCCCCGAAACACACAAACAATGTACACCCCTGTGCCTGTGTACCCCGAGTGCGTACATCACAGTGCCCGCGAACACCACAAAGTCCGCGTACACCTCCAGGTCCCCGACGGTATCAAACTCCCGCAATTTCATGGCTTGCCCGGACGCATCAGATTCAACATGCAAGCTGTTTGTGTTTATTGTTTCTGGCCACGGGCACGGCCCCTACCCCTCTTGCCCGCGCGCGCAACAGTATCAGTGTGTACCACAATTCTAGACAACACCACGTCTGTTTGCACCACAACTGCCGCCGCAGCTGGCGTGTGCGCTATGCACACGAGCTGCTTGTCCCTTCCGTTGTGACTGCGCCGCCGCGCCTCGTTTGGTGCCACAACAGCCTGCGCGCGCCACGCGCTTCTACATGCCGAAACATGCCTGCGCACACTGCAAGCACGTCGCGCGCGCACTACGACCAACATGCCTGTGCGCTACGTTACAGGCGCTGCTGCGACGGGGGTGGGCTGGGCAGCGGTCGTATGAGTTCACTGGGTGGGCGGGTGGAGGCCACCTAACGCGCGTGATGTCCTCGAGCAACGAAGACGTCGGACATCCTGGACCGACGCTGGACTCCCCCCTCCCTGGCCCGCGGATCGCGCCAGTGCCATCGCCAGAGGCGCCGCAAGGGGATCCATCGCCGATCCGGGAAATCCACGCGGACCTCAAGGATTTCATGTTCATGTGATATTTTGGTGTTCCTTCACAGTCGGGGGTCTGAAGACAAAATCTGACAATGAAACAACTGAGCGACGACCAACCGTCCTGGTATTCTGACCTGTTTACCACGACATACTCGCAGACCGAAAGAAATGACCAGATAACACAACCAAAATCATAATACCATCAAGCCGATGTGTTAAAACATGTTGGTGCCAACATTAACTGTTCGAACAACATCTCGCGACAACCACACAACATTATTGTATCGTTTCCTGGTGGGCCTTTACGGACGGCCATCAAGCCTCAACACTGCTTGATACGCAACCCGGGCGGCCGCCTGATCTTCGCGGCGTTCAGAGATCTCAGGTTAAACGTCTCGATCATCTGCCTCGCCAGAGGCTTGGCGACACGCGAGCGCAGCGCGCTCGGCGCGGCGGGGAGGGAGTCGCTCGGGGAGGTAGAAGGGTCGGAGGCGGAGAGCTAGGGAAAGGGTGCTGATGCCCCATCGTGGCCCCTTCTTCCTGATCGTCGTTAATATTCGCCATCCTCTTCGTCGAGATCCTTCGCCCTCCTCCTTCGTTTCTCCCTCCGCACCATCGTCGTTATCCTTCGCCCTCCTCCTCTTTCCTCGAGCTCCTTCCTGCTCATCCTCTGCTTTCTCTCGGCCGAGCTCCTTCCTGCGTCTCGTGCCGACCTGGCCAGCTCCGTCTGGGTCTCTTGGCCCCTGCAGCCCGCACTCGCGTGCTGCACAACCCCGGAAGAGGTGCTCCTGGAGGTGCCCCTCCTCCTCCTCCTCCTCCCTCCTCCTCCTCCTCCTTCTCCTCCTCCTTTTCCTTTTCCTTTTCCTCCTCCTCCTCCTCCTCCCTCCTCCTCCACTGCCTCCTCCGCGTACTTCCTCCTGCTCCTTCTGTTTCCTCCTCCTCCTGCGCCGATTCCTCCTCCTACGCCGCCGCCCCCTTCTCCTCCGTGCTCTCCTGCCCCTCCCGTTCGCACCCGCTGCTGCTGATTCGCCTGCCCCTCCCCGAGGGCCGCGGTATGAGGCGGAGGCCAGAGGACGAGGAGGCTCGGGTCGGGCGAGAGGCAGAGGCCGCCCACATGGGGTCCGACCAGATCAGGGGTGCAGAAGAGGCATCGTCGCAAGAAGCACCCCGACAGGCGAAGCCGCTTCGCAAACGCACCCGCAGAAGGAATCGAACAGGGCAGGGCTGTTTAGTAAACGCCCAGGGCCGTCTCGTCAACGCCAAGTGTGGGGGACGGGGGGGATTTTGCTTCTCCGATCGACGGGGCCGGAGGACCGCGCCACATCGCCGATACGTCGGCCATGCATCGGCGATGCCTGGGGAATCCGAAAAGGTACCATTCTGACCAGGACTTCGAGGCGAATCCAGCGGTGGTGACGAGGGCCTCCCAGGAGGCCGAACAAAAAGAAAACGTCCGAACGGTAGCGGTATGGGTACCATTCCCCCCTCTGAGATGTCGGCGTGGAGACAGTCGGGCTCCGCACCGCACTGCATCGCCGAGGCATCGGCGGTGCGGTGCGGAAAAAAACCGATCCGGTCCCTTCCGAGGAGGCCGCCGCCTCCCGAGATGGCCCCTGTCTCCGCAGCCGGCCGCCCCCCCCTCGCCCCCCGCCCTCCGCAAACCGCGCGCCGCCGGGCGCAGGAGGACGTGCAGCTGGACTCAGGGAGCCCCCTTCCCCCTCCCCCCCCCCCGCCACACACACACACACACACTCACACTCACACTCACACTCACACACACAACACACACACACATACACATACACGTACACACACACAACTAAGGGGCCCAGGGACACACAAGCAAACACACGCACGTCCCAGGATTCTCAATAAGTTTCCCATAATTTCTGCAGTGTCGTCTTCCCCCCCCCCACTTCGCCTATGTTCCCAGATTTTCCTGAGAACCGACGATGACTTGGGTCCGTGTGTGTGTGTGTGTGTGTGTGTGTGTGTGTGTGTGTGTTTCCCCTCCTGGAATCCTCCTGTACGGACGGACGCAGGATGGATGCGCGCGGGGAGTGCTGTCGTGCGGAGGAGGGAGGAGGGAGGAGGAGGAGGAGGAGGAGGAGGAGGAGGAGGAGGAGGAGGAGGAGGAGGAGGAGGAGGAGGGAGGAGGAGGAGGAAGGGGAGGAGGAGAAGGAGGAGGAGGAGGAGGAGGGAGGAGGGGGAGGAACCCTTGGATCGGCGCTGGCCCCGCCTCGCAGGCTCTGGGCGGCGAACGGCGGTCTGATGGGCCTCCACGGAACCACTGGCCAGAAAGAAGGCTGGCGCCGCATACACGGGCATGGCCTTCTGCGCCGGAGGCCTGCGCAGCATGGCCTGCGTATCTCTCCCTCCCTCTCTCGCTCGCTCTCTTTCCTCGCATGATTCGCTCTCGCGATTCGGACATACATACATATATATACAGGTGTACACATATGACTTTATATATATACATATATATATATATATATATATATATATGTGTTGAAGTGGCATGGTTGTATCTATATATATATACGTCTACTCCCAACACATGAAGCTATCTACTTAATAGTGAAACACATATGTACATGAAAACGTGTTCGCACATCGAAACATTTGTGTATATATATGTATATACATATATATAGGTGTATGCATGCAGGGGTATGTGTTTTGTCTGTTCGCAGATAAGTAACGAAACTCTGTATATAGATGCAGCAACTGTAAGAATATGTCCATGTGTGTCTAATTTACACATGCATGTACGAATGTGTATATGTAGATGTATGCAGATGTCGGTATCTCTATGTCGATTGTATGTGTATGTCCCGCTTTATCCATAGATAGGTATACATGTGCCGTCTGTGTTTATACAGACATACGTATATATCCTGTTGCTCCCGCCCAGCAATGCCATACCAACCAAGACCAGACCCAGACAAGGAGATACCAGACTAGAGACGGAGGAGAAATCACACACGACAGCTTCGTAAACTCATCAACGTCCCCCCCCCTTCCTCCTTATATCGTTGAGACCAGGCGCGGCCTGCTGATCTAGGGAAGATGAAATTGCAACGGGTGAGAAGAACGACGTGAATCAACACTGAGTTGCAATGAGAGATGGCGGCCACACCTGAACTCTTCGAACTCGATGGCGCCAGACTTGTCCTGGTCGACCTTGCCAGAATCGGATGGTTCCGCCGAACCCCCTAATGGATACTAGAAAAAACATGCGGACGCTAACCGCTATCTCCAATTGTGCGCCTAATGAACGCCTCTGTTGCTGCTCGCATCGTGCTCTGGTCTGCACGCCGGTCCTGAACAGCTATGCCTTCTACCAAACCTCTGAACCTTCGCGCACTGAATCAATTAGGGCGGGGAGGACGTCAAGGACAAGAACACCGACGAGCAGGACGAGGAGGAGGAATAGCACGAGGACGCGCCGCCTCTGCACACTGCTGCCTTGCTGGAGTCGCCGAGGCGACAACTGCAGAGCGTGGAGTGTTCCACATGCGGCTCTCGCTGAAGAGCTGTTTCACCTTCAACTCATACAGGATTCGGCCTGACCTAAGGAACGATACATCGGGGATGAACAGACCTCCCTTTAGCAAAAAGTGGTTTAGTGAAAACGACCTGAGGCCCAAACCTGACGGGCACAAGCCTGGAAAATAACGGCCACGGCGCCCTCTCGAAAACCGAAAACGGATAATTCACTAATCGACGTGTCACTGTTGAGGGTTCTGTCCACCCACGAATACATAAGGAGCGAAGCCCATTTTTTCCAAGGAACACCAGGGAGACTCGCCGCCCAAAAGGTAGCGAAACGCATGCACACCAAAGGAACGACCGACCCCCTTTTGAACAGGAAGTGATCCGGATTCAAGCAGGACCCTGTATGGCCCGAAGACCCACATTGTGCAGCTGGGATGCTGCTGGAGGGCGGTGCCGGCTCTCGCGTGCGATGTCCGCATGCATGACTCATGACCAGAGCTTTGACACGGGGCAACCCCAGACACGGAGGGGGGTACACTCTTCCACAAGGGGGACACATCGCTGGAACATTCCTGGAACTTCATCGTCCTGCCTGCAGCATCGTTGATGCATCCTCGATTAACTGTAGTATTGAAGGGATGCCCTTCCCACAATGGAAGGGAGAACTTGCAGGGACATATAAGGCAAGGCCTTGAGACTGGAGAATGTCTTGCAACATCGTTGGTGCGTCCCCGATGAACTCTCGAGTATTCTTCCGTGTGTCCTCCTCCTACCTCCCTCGAGAGAAAGTCAGAGGGCGAATGAGGGAGAGAGGAAACGCCTCCTCGAAGACCGTCTGCAGGTCCTCTTGGGAGAAGCCTTGGGCCTCGCGAGACGGCAAGACAGCTCGCAGACAGAAGAAATGCATTGGGGAGGGAACATAACAATACACGCAATACAATCATAACATTACTTCCCGAGGTACGTGCAGATCTCCTGGCTCGACGCTGGACCCCGCTGGCCGCGCAACCCCGCGCCAAGCAAGCAGGCAAGTGATATAAAAAAAGTGCGTGGACCGAAGACGAATGCATTCTACAAAAGCGTCACGAACGCTCTACATCCCTGCGCTCCGAGAGTGGGACATCGCAGCGCGTGCTCCCAACGGAAAGGCCGACAACCGTCCGACGTGACATCAATGCGACGCGAGGATCCGATGCTCGTTCTGGGGACCTTCCTGAATCCACTCGCTCCACTCATGCGTCGATACTTCGACGACCGTCCATCGACTTGAGTAAGACGTTCGTTAGAACAGCTAATTTCCACACCTCTAGCAGCCTCCCCCCTCTTCCTCTCTCCGTAATGTCCGCTCAAGGCCTCTAGCGAGGCCAGTTCTCTTTTGGGGGGGGCGGGCGGGGCCATAGCTCGCTGGCCCAGCCTGCGGCGCAACCAGGCAGTCCGAGGATTGCTGGGTAGTGGCTGGGCCAGGTCCCCCCTCCACTGCGGGCGGGGGCTCCGGCGGGGAGCCCCGCGGCCCGCGGCGGATATCTCGCAGGCGCCCGCGGCCTGAAGGGGCAGAGGAAGCAGGGAGGTGCTGGTGACGCGGCACGTCTCCCTGGAGTGCGTGATCTCCACCGAGCTGGTGGCCACGCTCGGGAGGCTAGGTGCTTCCCTGGGCGTAGGGCTGTCGGCTGCCTTTTCGGCCTCCGCCAGCTGTGCGCCAGGGCCCAGCGAGGGCCACGCGAGGGAGGAGCCAGGCGCGGCGAGCAGCTGCGCAGAGGAGGCTGCGGAAGGCCAGCCAGCCGACCCCGTGCTGCCCGCGGAGACGGAGCAGCCGGAGGAGGCGGCGGCGCCACAGCTTGAGGCGCCCCAAACGACGAGCCCGCCGCCAGCCATGGCCGGTTCGGGTGGGCGCGCCACCAGACACGAGGAGTACTACCACCTCGCGTACTACTACTAGGACGGGGTGGCGACGAGCCCGCCCCCGGAGATGCAGCCCGTGGCGCCAGCCATGCCCGGACCGCCGCCCGAGGGGAAGGCGATGCCGAGAGAGTCGGAACGACCTCAGGCGGGCGAGCATCAACCGCCCGCCCCACAGCGACGTCCGGCTGCGACGGCGCCTCGATCGACGGGCAACGCCACCCGCTCGCAGCGGGCGCTGGCGCCACGACCGCCGCCAGGGAAGCCGCCAGCTGGAGGATGTGAGAGCGTGGCAGCGGAGGATGCGCCTCCACTTCCAGGCCGTCCTCCCGAAGCCGTACCAGGGAGGGTCAGCGCCGAGCCAGGCGGGCTCGCATTCGCCAACGCATAGTTAGAGGCGGCGCTCGAGTGACTGGGCGAGAAGGTCGGGCATGCGCTGGGTACTATGCTCCACTAGGTGATCGCTTTCCTCATGTGTGTGGTGAACGCTGTGGGTGAGTACATTTGTGGCTGCTAGTGGGCGCGGCTCCAATGGCTCGCCCTGGGCGTGAGATTGCACCACAAACACTGCACCACCAAGATTGCCCAAAATACCTTGCACAACATAACTTGCACCACCCAGATTGCACCACACAGATCGCTCCACCGCACAAGACCTGTGGCGCGCCCACCTTGGCCAACACCTGCACCACACAGGCTGCACCACGGGGACGGCTCCACACGACCTGGCCCGCCACACAAATAGCACTGCCCCACGCAGACAGCACCGCACCACCGATGCACTGCCAGCAGCGCACTGGGTTGGGCCCCGCGCTGGGCAGCGCCCGCTCTCTGCTCGAGCCCGGCACGGCGCGCCCAGCAATTTTGCCGCCGCCGCCGCACCGCGCGCGCCGCGCGGCGTGGCCCCGCGCCGCCAGCCGGGCAGCCACGCCCCCGTGCGCCAGGCGGCGGCCAGCCGGCAGCGCGCCCGCAGCGGGCGTGCTCAGGGGGCCGAGCAGCGACGAGCGCGCTCCACGACCCGCCAAGTGGCTGCTCGCACTGGCCCGAGTCCGCCGCGGGGGAGTGGCGCTCCACACTGCGCAGAGGCAGGGATTCGTGATTTCCAGGTGTTCGCGAGCAGGCACGCTGCGAGTAGCGGAACGCGCTCGGTGACACACAAAATATTGTCCCAGCGGAGTTCCTGGAGCGGCGCTGGACCGACCCCCTCCGAGGCATGCAGAGCGCGCCAGGTTCCACGATGCTGGAAAAACGAGCCTCTGGAAACGCGCCCCGCCGGAGGCGCGGCCCGTTCGCGCCCGGGGCCCTGGATACCGCCTGCTGGGGATACCAAAAAGGTGCCGGTACCGCTACTCCCCGGACCTCTCCCGGTGTGCGTGTCAACCAAGATTTCGAAGCGAATCCAGCGGTGGCGACGAGGGCCTCCCAGAAGGTCCAAAAGAACAAGTAGCGGTATGGGTACCTTTTCCAACTCTGAGGTACCTCTTGCTCCTGCTCTAGAACAGTCCCTCCCCCAAACGAAGCTCTGGTACGAGGATTTGGTCGACCCAAAAAGGGGTCCAGCTGGAAGGGGGAGGTGCAATAGATTTGGGGCACTTGTATCGCAAACGCATTGCCCCGAGCACGCCCCACATCTATTGCACCCCCACAAAACTATTGCACCAAATCTAGTCCACCACCCCCTTCTTGCTGGACCTCCTGTTGTTGAGGGATGCGAAAACGCACCTACCCTGGGATACAAGTGCGAGGCCCGCAAACCTCCTGGGAGCTCCCAGAGGCCAGGGAGCCGCCAGGACGCCGCGCGACACGCGCGATATGCAGGGCTGACCCTGCCAGCCCACCGGAGGTTCAGCGCACAGCGCCTCGTAAACCAGGGTAGGTGGCGCTTTTGACGCCCTTGATCTTGGCGAGAAGCCCCTCAGACCCGACGCGGCGAGAAGAAAAATCGAGCTGCAGCATCGGGAACCAAAACACGACGGGCGGCGGTAGGAGGAGGAGGAGGAGGAGGAGGAGGAGGAGGAGGAGGAGGAGGAGGAGGAGGAGGAGAGGAGGAGGAGGAGGAAAAAGAGGAGGAAAAAGAGGAGGAGAGGAGGAGGAGGATGAGGAGGAGGAGGAGGAGGAGGAGGATCTTGGGCCAACCAACGAGGAGGTCCGCGCGGGGCCGCCGCCGCACCGCGCGCCGCGAAGCCTGCCGCCCGCGCGCCCCGCGGGGGCCGCCGCCGACCCCCGCGCGCCCAGCGGCGGCCAGTCGCCGCGCGGACGGAGCGCGACGACCGGCGGCCGCGGGGCGAGACACACTGCCGATCTGCTCGACCCCTCCTCGTCCTCCTCCTCCTCCCTCCTCCTCCCCTCCTCCTCCCTCCTCCTCCTCCTCCCTCCTCTCCTCCTCCTCCTCCCTCCTCCTTCCTCCTCCCTCCTCCTCCTCCTCCTCCTCCTCTCTCCTCCTCCTCCCCTCCCCCTCCCCCTCCCCTCCTCCCTCCTCCCTCCTCCTCCTCCTCCCTCCTCCCCTCCTCCTCCTCCTCCTCCTCCTCCTCCTCCTCCTCCTCCTCCTCCTCCTCCCAAGCACAAGCGGCGCGCGTGCCCCCCATAGCCCTTTTTAGCGCATGGTCGGCCCTCGCCCCCGCCCTCGTCGCGTCATCGTCGCGTGCTTGTGGACTCCTCAACGGCGCCGTGGACACACTCCTCGGTTCTATTTGGGGTTTGCTAAGGACGAGGAAAGCTAGGCTCGGCAATTTTGTTGTTGAAGGTGTCGACCGTGGAGCACTCTCCGAAGACAGATCGGGTCGGGTTCACGTTGTTCGGGCTCCTCTCCGTGCTTAACTGGTTCCTGCACCTGTTGTGTCGGGTCCTGTGCTTCTACGCCGCGGTCCGCCCTGGGGTGGGCACGGTGCCGAATGGCCCTTCTCCGTGCCCACCTCAGGCGTACTACCTTTTTGGGGCCTTCACATATTTTCATTTGTATTCTATTTTGTGGCAATCAATTTGTATTGTTTGGTCACTTCGCTCTCATGTTCGCACTGTGTATTTCTATTGTTCATTTCACTTTCGCTCAGTGTGGCAATTGTGGAGGTCATAGCGGAAGCGCCGGATTTCAGATTCCCTGCGCGGCCTGACGCGGGCGGCTGTTGTGAAGCTACTTGACGCCTTTGGTGGGTGGATTGTGGCTCGGCAGTAAGGTTCGGGTGGATCCTGTCTAACCGTTCGCCCAGCCGCTGGTTTCCAGCGGTGCCAGGAGATTTTACTCGTATACTCGGGTCGGCTTCCGTTCTTCACAGTAAAGCTCTGCGCTTGGTGTTGTGGGCTTATAAGTACACTCGGTGTTCAAAGGTGCGTTGTACCATTCAACTTGGTTGTTCAATTTTCGCGTCGCACATAGTGTTGTGGCGCACGCGTTCAGTTTTTACGGTATGGTATGATAGTCAGCGTTGTGCCGCGAGGGACCTGAGTGGCTTTTCAGCTCACAATAACGGTGAAGTTCACAACCATGTCAAGGTCAGTGTTGTGCCGCGAGGGACCTGAGTGGCTTTCAGCTCACAATAATGGTGAAGTTCACAACCATGTCAAGTACGGCGGGCAGTTCTACGATGCATGGCAGGGGACATCTCCCAGGCAGAGGGCGTAACATCCCGTACCTGAGTCAGGCTGGCGCAGGCGTGACGTGAGAGAAGGGCGCAATGCAATCGGTTGCTTCGCTAGGATCGCACTCGCGATGGGGTCCACTCCACTCCTCCTCCTCCTCCTCCTCCTCCTCCTCCCCCTCTTCCGCCCCCTCCCTCTCCGCCTCCTGCCCCTCCCTCTCCTCCTCCCCCGCCCCTCCGCCTCCTCCGGACCCTCCCAACCCTCCTCCCCCCCCCTCCCTCATCCTCCTCCGTTCCGTCCCCCTCCGCATTAATCACTCCCGTTGTCACCCACAAGTCCTGTGCAGTCTTCGGCGGTATTCGGCGGTTTCCAAAGGTCTTCGGACGGTCTTCGGCGCAAGAGCTAAGTGGTTGCAGGTCAACGAGAGGTCCACGACAGAATATCTAGATACAATCACGGCTTCTGGCACCCTCATGCAACCAAACACGACACCTTACAAGGCAACTTCTGGGACGCCTTCGCAAGAGTGGCCATTGAAACGGATTGGCCCAGCCTGAGCCCAAGACCAAGCCGGATTAGGGAGGATTCAGCGGGATCAGGTAAAGAGGATTAGGGCGATTTTTCACCACGGATATACCGGCGCCGCCGCTGAAGTAACCTCCAAGAAATTGCATCCTGCCGGCCCGACAGCAGGTAGGCGTATTACATATGCGCCCCACCCACATCCTCAAGTAACCACACCCTGCTGTTCTTCATGGTCATCCGCCTGTTCATCCGCCACCTCCTCCTCCTCCTCCTTCTCCTCCTCCTCCTCCCTCCTTCTCCTCCTCCTCTTCCTCCTCCTCCTCCTCCTCATCCTCCTCTCCTCCTCCTCCTCCTCTCCTCCTCCTCCTCCTCCTCCTTGCCTCCTCCTCCTCCTCCTGATCGTGTTCTCCGCCCATGTACGCAGCTCCTTCTCCGATATCGCAGAACACAATTTTGTGATTTTAGAAATGGTCCTTGTCTGCTATGACCCGCGCTCGCGGGTAGAGAAGCGATCACCGCAATGGAAAGGTTTGGGTGGGACGGGTAGGCTGTCAAGTATTCGCCCATCACTCTTGCCCTGCCCCTTGCCCTCTTTGTCGTTATCTTCTTCCCCCTTCCTCCCTTATCATTATCCCTCCTTCCACCTCTATCATCCCGCCTTCGCCTCCTCACTCATCCTCCGTCCATCCGCTTCTCCGTCTGATCTCCCTCCTGACCCTCTTGCCACCCCTCTCCTCCTCTCTCCTGCCTGCCCCTCTTGCCACTCTGGCTGCTTCTCTTCCTCCTCCTCCTCCTCCTCCTCCTCCTCCTCCTCCTCCTCCTCCTCCTCCTCCTCCTCCTCCTCCTCCCCTCCCTCGTTCTCATCCTGCTCATCCGTCCTGCTGGTCCTGCTCCAGCTGCTGGTCTTCCTCCCCCTCCCCCCGCCATTCCTGCTGCTCCTCACCAGGACCCTCCTCCGAAAATCTCCGCCTCCCATGACAAGCAACACCCGCACCTCCCCCTCCGCTCTCCAAGCCACGTGCTGCGCTGACCAGCTGCTGGCGCCTGCAGTCTGGAGCGCACCTGATCCAACAGCATGATCCGGTCCTGCGCCGCCCGCGGTGCTGCAAACGAGGGTACACCACGTGTCGGGGGCGGCCAAGAGGGGGGGCGTCCAAAAGGTGGGGGGGGCGCAAATCACGGCCGGCGGCACGTGCGCGGCCGGGAGGGGGGGGGGCGGGGGACGTTTTGAAATAAGAAGAGGCGCCATGAAATCTGGGGAGATCTCATGGCCCCCGCCGTGATATCCCCCCCCCCCAGTCTTCCCCCCTCCCCCCTGGCCGCCGCCGAATATGTGCGACCGGTGCGGCTAAAGTAGCGCCAGGCGGGAACAGACACGCGCAATGACAGACTTTCTACGTCGAGGCGCTGTCAAGGCAATACGCATGCGCGTCGAGGCTATGTGGCCGCCGTCGCCGCCCCGACGCAGGCCTCGTCGCCGCCTCGTCGTTCCCCGTCGCCGCCGTCGGAATGCACCACATAGATTGCACGAACAAGTATCAGAGCATATGTGGCTGTGGATAGTGTCGTTGTGAGTATCGCCTTTGGTGGATCTCCCTGTGGGGGCACGAAGATGAGAAAGGAATGGTCGAAATGGGGCGGGGAAGCGCATGCGAAACCTGCCTCTGGGCGCATCGGTGGAGCTCTCTATGGGGCCACGAATCGTGTGGGGTGCGCCGAATTGGGCACGGGTGCGCCATGCGGACCCTGTCGCTGTGCCCTTTGGTGGACCTCCCTATAGAACCACGAAACGTGTGAGGGGGCTGCCCAGTCGGGTGCAGGTACGCCATGCGGACCCTGCTGCTGGGATCTTCGGTGGAGCTTCTCGTGTGGCCACGAAACATGTCAGAGGTGCGCCGAATCGGGCACGGGTGCGCCATGTAGACCTTGCCGCAAGGCCCTTCCGTGGGGCCCCCCATGGGACCACGAGACGTGTGAGGGGTGCGCCGGATCAGATGCGGGTAATTACGCCATGCGGACCCTGCCGCTGGATCCTTCGGTGGAGATCCCTGTGGGGCCACGGAACGTGTGATGGAAGGCGCCGCAACGGGTGCGTGTGCGCCATGCGGACCCTGCCGTTGGAGCCTTCGGTGAAGCTCTCTGTGCTGCCACGTAACGTATGAAAAATATACCGAATCGGGCGCGAGTGTGCCATGCCGCCCCTGCCGCTGCGTCCTTCGGTGGAGCTCCCTCTGGGTCGAAGCGTGTGAAGGGTGTGCCGAATCGGGTGCGGGTACGCCTTTCGGACCCTGCCGCTGGGGCCTTCGGTCTAACCCCCCAAAATGTCACGAAACGCGGGAGGGGTGTGCCGAATCGGGTGCGGGTACGTCATGCGGACCCTGCCGCTGAAGCTTTCGGTGGACCTCCTGGTAGGGGCCACGACACGTATGAGGGGTGTGCCGGGACGAGTGCGGGTACGCTTTTCGGACCCTGACGCTGGGGCCTTGGGTGGAGCTCCCAACGGGGGCACGAAACGTGTGAGGGGGGTGCCGCAATGGTGCAAGAATGGCTGTGCGGAGGGCAGGGGCAATGATGGGAGGCATGCGGGGGGAGAACGAATGGAAGAAAGAAGGAAGAAAATGCGGGGACTCCCGCCTCACAATGCGGACCCAACGCCACAGGATGGCGTTGGGAAGATCTAACCTGACACGTCTTTCTTGGGTGCCTGCAACATAGATTGCACAACGTATGTTGCATGATAAAATCAAGTGCGCCATACATATTGCAGACAGAACATGAATTGTCATGCTGTTCCCATCGTAGTTCAGGGTTGCTACGCCCAGCAAAAATGTCGAGCCCCCCGGAAAAGTCTCGAAACAGTGTCTGCCCGACGCGCTGGCGAAGTGCCGAACGAATATCGCCTCCCAGGGCCCGACACGTGAACACCGTTCAATTTTTATACTTTCCAGCCGCTACACATTCCCAATTGTGATCAAGGCTAAAGTCCAGTATATAGCACAACATGTATCGAACGACATATCGTGAGTAATCACATACACATATGGCACAAACTACATTGCACACCATAGATTGCACCAAATAGATTGCACCGCCTCGGTTGCACCACATAGGTTGCACCACATAGTATGCCCCGCAAAAGGGTTGTGGCACATAGACGCCACGATTGTGTGGTCCGCACCGGCGGCGCGATTTTGATAGCTCGCACAATTGATTGCGCCCCGTACACTGCATACCATGGACTGCGCCACATATATTGCACGATGTCGGTTGTACCACGTAGATGCGCACAACAAATAATGCCCAACATAAATCTCAACACATAGAGTGCACAATCCTTTTTGCGCAACACAGAGGGCGAGAAACACACTGTTTGGGCTTCGCGCTGGCTAACATACATGTAAATATAATTCACGATAGAAGCACGCTCGATTCGCGCGCGCAAAGGTTCTAGCCGACTGCGAAGTCGCTGTCAGTAAACCCTAAGCCCTAAACCCTAACAGGGAGAGGCTTCCCAGGCAAAGGCCGCCTTTGGCGCATGGAAGCGCTTGGCTTTCTAAGGGATACTTTCGGATTCGGTGGGCGGTCGCGGAACCGTCCGAGATCGACGTGCGACGCGTCGAAAGGCTCTGAGTTTCCCAAGGTTGCGCAAACAACGCGTCTGCCACGGTGGCCGAAAGGTCCGAGAGGCTCCAGGCCGCCAAGAAGCCGCCGCCGCCGCCATCGCGGGCACCACCGCTGCAGCCGCCGCCGCCGTCGCAATACTCGTCGCGGTGGTCGTCGCAATGGTCTTGGTGGTGGTGATCGTCCTGTGGACGTGATCGGACGATTTTTTTTACGTTCCAGGGCGTGCTTTGCTTTTCCAGAACCTCCGGGAGCAACCCGTGTCGCTAAAGTGGCACGAGACGCCTGAGGGAGTGTTTAACGACGGGCGCGCACGACCGTCCCATCAATATGGGGCGAAGCTCGATCTGCACTGTGGAACGCGCGACAAGCGGATCGCACGCGAACCTGCCTACCAAGGCTAAAAGTCCAAGCTGGGCCCTCATTTTCGGGCGCGAGATGAGTGGCCAGCTAGGCAGATTCATCCCACGCGAGTGCAAGGTCGCAACATCTGGCCGCGCAGTCAGGCGGGCCGCAAGCGGGAAATTGCAATGACGGGACGAACCGGGCCAACGGAGGAGGATTGGACAACGAAGCGTGGCAAAATCAATAAGAACACGGACGGTACGCCGCAGCGAAGATAACGCAAGCGCCCAACTTCAATAGAACCAACGCACCCAACATGCTTTGAAACCCACATAGGACACGACGCGTCAAAGCACCGTGGCATGCGGAACAACTCAGAAGGTACAGAACGCCGTGGACTTTTTCACAACAGTATCCACCATGCAACTTTCACGCCCGATGTGTCCTGGTGCTGCATGCGCCCGAGACCTGCCCCACTCCCCACCCCCAAACACGCCACACAACCACAGCAAACAGGCTGCAAATCCACCGGAAAAAGATCGAAGCAGTGGGGCCTGTCCGGTACACCGTGGCAGTTGCCCCCCCGAATTTGGGGCGCGAGCGGGCCCGTGCAACACCCCCTGGCAGAGCACCCCCCCAGCACCCCCGAAAGGCCAGACTTCCATGCCTGAAACAACCCCATGACTACAGGGCAGTGTTTAATACATATGTGTTTCAATCCATTCTTAATTTATGAATACATGTATGCAGGAACTCATGGTTGTTGTTAATACTACATCCCTGCATGTTTAATACATGATCCGCACGCGGAGCATGTATTAAAAACGGCACTGTATGGGGGCCCTGAGGAAGAGATGCGTCTCCCCCCCTAGCGCAGTCATTCTGAGTGAGACGAGCTGACACTGTGGGCGCGCGCGCCAGCGTCTGATGCAAGGGACAGTAGAAAACAGGAGGAGGAGCGAGGAGCGCAGCAAGCTCGAGGCAGCCAGAACGACTACAGAGGCGGAGCAAAAAAGACGAAGAGGGAACAGGAGAAAGCCGGACAACGGTGGCTTGCACATCAAGCCTGACCAGCGGCGCGGCAGGACCATTTGAGCCTGCGCAGCACAGCTGACGACATTCCTTCGTTCCTGCCTTCCCCTTCTCGAGCGTACCCCGAGCGCGCCGAACGTCCTCCATCACCTAGAGGAGGGCCGCGCAACCTGATGGCGAGCCAACCTGAGAGCCAACCTGTCGACGCATTGTGCGTCGACTGACCTCGGAGCTCGTTGTGCAAAAAGCACGCGCATACAAGAGGCATGATGGACACACGAGACGGATGAACAAGACCTAGGCGGGCAATGGGGCAGACAGGGAGCGAGGACTGGCAGAGCGCCGCGAGGTGACCGGTTCCTGCCATCACCTCCTCTTCCTCCTTCCTCCATCCTCCCCTTGCACCTCCTCTCTATTCCCCCCTTGCCCTCCTCCTGCTGGCGCCCCCAAGCGCTTCCTGGTCGAACCACGTCTGCGAGAAGCACGAGCCCGTGATCGCAATCGGCATCGCCTCCGCCCCGCGTCGGGCCACCCTCCCGGAAGGAGACCGGGGGGGAGGGGGGAGAAGGTATGGATCAGGAACCGGGCGGCGGCCCGAGGCGAGGAGCATCGAGGCGGGCGAAGGGGAAGAGGACGACCGAGCAGGGAGACTGCGCCATACTGGCCCTCCTCTTCCCATGCTCCCCATCATCATCTCACTACGACGCCTCCTCCTGCCCCCCTCCTCCTCCTCCTCCTCCTCCTCCTCCTCCTCGACGTCGCCGTCGTCGCCGCGGTCGCCCTCATCACCATCATCGCCCTGCCCCTGCTTCTTCAACTCTTCGGTGTCGTCCTTGGACGTCCGACGTCATGCTCGTTTCGCAAAGTGGCGCCTCAGATGCCTGGGCCCTTTCCTGCGGGCCCGCATCTCAACTGAACCATTTCTTGCTGACCCCCCCTGGGCCTCATAGGAAGGGCCCCCAGAGGCTGGCCATGGCCACAAAACCTCTCTTCGTGCATTCTCCGCGACCCGAAAATCTCAGAGAATCTCCATGGCTCATCCTCCGTCACGCCTCCCTGGTCCGTCCCTCCTCTCTGATCCTCCTCGCCCCTTGCCAGATCCCCCCCCGTCCCCCTCACATTGCTCCCGGCCCCCTACCTCGGCTTGCCCCTCCCGCCTTCCTCCTCCTCCTCCGCTCCGTCTCATCCTCCCCCCTCCCTCCCGCCCTGCCCCCTTACCTCTCCCGACTGCGTGGGCCCACAGGCACGTCATCGGTGCGTGTTTTTTTTAATTGTTGTGATCGATGTCTGCACGGCCGTGTTTGTGGTTGATGCCTGGCAACGGCGTGGCGCCGTCACGTCTGGACGGCGTGGCACCTCCCCGGTTTGGGGGTGTCTCTTAGTTGCGCCTGCTACAGGGCTGCTTTTTCATACATATGATGGTTTAACATATAGGATGTTCATGAGTTATTCATTTATGCATAAATGTATGCATGAACTCATCGTTGTTGTCAATACTAATCCCCTGCATTCGAAATACATGATCCGCACGCGGAGCATGTATAAAAAACGGCACTGTATATCTCTGCTCGTTCCAGAGGCCGTTCTTGGACCCTCGGAGATCTCCTGGGCCTGGCGGCCGCGGTGTGCAGGGCGGGCGAGGCGGCACATCCACGGGCAGCCCAAAACGTCTGGGTGCCTGACGGGTGCGGCATGAGAAGAAGAATAAGCAACGGCATTAACATCAACGTTTGGCGCTCCGCGACGATTTTTTGGATCATGGCACAAACATCACAAAAACAAAAAACACATAAAAAACACGGAGGTCCGCGCGGGTTTCTCGGATCCGCGCTGGACCCCCTCCCTGGCGCGCGGAGCGCTCCAGGGGCGGCGGCGGAGGCGCCGCCGGGGGGCCCAGCGCGGATCCGAGAAACCCGCGCGGAGCGCCAAAAGTTGTTGTTGATGCCGTTTTCTCTTCTTCAAAGTGTGCGCAGGGAAAACGAGGCGGGAGACCCAAGGGCCAACCCGAGTCCGCGAGCGCAGCGGGGAGCCCAGGGGACCTCCCCGAGTCGCGTGGGTCCTGGCGGCCGCGGCCTGCAAAAGGCGGGCGAGGTGGGGCGGTACCTTCTTCTCCCAAAAAAGCCCGACAGCCCGCACCTGTTGATAGAGGCCTCCCAGATGGGGTCCGAGCAGATGGGGTCGAAGGATCGCGCCGCATCGCCAATGCATCGCCGATGTATCGGCGCTGCATCCGGCGTGGGGAATCACGGGCTCCGCATCGAGCCGCATCGTCGACGCACCCGCAATGCGGCGCGATCCTCTGACCCCATCTGCTCCGACCCCCTCTGGGAAGCCTGGAGTTTACAACCTGGGTCGAGCCACACTTCTGCCAACGATGGCGGCGCCCACGAGGAGGTGGGACGAGGGCGGCGGCCTGCTAATTACAAAGGCGGAAGGGCCCTCTTAGAATCAGGTCGGGCCTGTCCCCCTACAGGCGGACTTCGGACGAAAAGTTAAACAGATTCAAAACATGCCCCCGAAATGTTCCAAAATGGTGGACAAACACGTCCCCCGACTATTTGTTGTCAATTTCTGCACCTTCCCCCTGTAGAGGGACAGGCCCGACTTGCTCCTGGAAGGGAGGGGGCCTTCCCAGGCGGCCTCGGAGGCTACTGCGCATGTTATGTCGGGCGTGTCCCCCTACAGGGGGAGTTTCGACGAAACAATAAAAATACCCCAAACATATTCCAAAAAGGTTACAGAAATAGTCAAACACTAGTCCCCAGACTATTTGTGGAGTATCTTTGGACCATGTTTGGGGCATTTCCTATTTTTCGTCGAAATTCCCCTGTAGGAAGGACAGGCCCGACCTAATGCGAATGCTCACTAGCAGCCGGGCGGGCTCCTAAAAATAAAACAGGGCTAAGATCGGGATAAATCGCTCCAGAACGTTCCAGAGCGCTCTCAGAGCGTTCCGGAACGCTCTGGAGCGGCCGCGGCGCCCAATACATCCTCCAAGCCCGCCGATTCTCAGAGATTTCGAGTTATCCCGATCCGATTTTGTCCCGATCTTCGCGTCGTTTTAAAAAAGCCCCCCCTCTAAATAGCCTCGTCTGCGGGCGCCGCGCCGGCGAAACGGCAGCCGGGCGGGGCCCGAGAGGTGCCCGGGCAGGGAGGGGCGCAGGACGGCCGAGCGAGCACCGAGCCTGCGGACAGCGGAGGGCAACCAGACTGCGGACAGCAGAGGAGGAGGAGGAGGGGGAGGAGGAGGAGGAGGAGGAGGAGGAGGAGGAGGAGGAGGAGGCGGAGGAGGAGGCGGAGGAGGAGGAGGAGGAGGAGGGGGGGCAGAAAGGTGAGGAGGGACGGCCAGTTGGACTGCTCATGCGATGGAGGGCCCCTCCTGGCCAGGGCCGCCCAACCAGCGAGCGCCGCCACCCCGAGGGGCTCACGAGAGGGGGGGATAGGAAAGGGGGGGGTACGAAATCTGCTGCATGCATCCGGTTTCGGCCCCGCCGCCGGGCCCATTCCTCGATACCTGGTGCGCCTCCCAGCGCCGGGAGGCGCTGGGAACATCGGCTACGCGAGCTGCTGGTCTACCCTACCCTTTGCTCTCCCCCCCGTTCGTTCCCCCCGAGAGATGCGGGCGAGGAGCTGCTGGCAGGAGGCAGTTTTACAGTTGTCGGCGATGACCTGGGTGATCTGGTGGGGGTTGGGATGGAGGAGGCGACGCCGATAATCTAGCCTTTTCGCTATGGGCCGCACCCCGTAGGCCCGCGCGCACCAATACTGCGTACCCCATTCAACCTGCGCAACCAACGACGTCAAATTATCCGGCGGGGACAGGCGGTCCCAATAACCCGGTGCATCGCAGGACCCAGGCAAAATGTCTCCAGTTCAAATGACAAAAAAAAACATCAACCAAACTCCATCTGCCAATCGCAAGCCGCCTCCCGCGACGAAACCATCAGCCGCTCTGTGCGTCGCACACCCCGAAACACGCCTGCCGTAGAGGCCTTCCGAACAAGGTCCGAGTAAATGGGCTCGGAAAATCACGACGCATCGGCGATGCATCGGCGATGCATCGGAGACGCGTCGGCGACGCCGGCGATGCATCGGCACCGTCGGCGTAGATAGAACTGTGCTCCACATCGAGCCACATTGCGGATGCATCGGCGATGCGGCGCGATCCTCGCATCCCATCCACCCTGACCCCAATCAGGGAGGCCAGGAGTCCACCAGCCCACAGCCCGCGGAATAGCAGACAGGTCAGGGGCACCCCTGCTCGGTCCCCCTCTGATGGTGCGATGCCCCTCGCTCCGCAGAGCCTCGGTGCGCTCGCCGGCCCCGCACAGGTGGACGGAGGATGCGAAGGAGGACGGATCGATGGAGGGAGGTAGGGGGAGGAGGAGGAGGAGGAGGAGGAGGAGGAGGAGGAGGAGGAGGAGGAGGAGGAGGAGGACGGATCGATGGAGGGAGGTGGGGAGGGGAGGGCCTCTGGTCCCGAGGTGCCCCAAGCACGTGCAGTCGGGGCGTTGACCTGAGGAGCCCTGAATAAGGCACGCGGCCCCTGTTTTTCCAGAAGGTCGACTTCGATTTCCTATCGAGAACACCGGAAAACCTGAGGCAAGCTGTGAAACACTTCAGGAACGAGGAGCCCCTCCCCAACGAAAAGGTTCCCTCTTCAGGGCCCCGACTGTGACACAAGTCATTCTGCTTCAAGCGATCCCCGCACACGAACGCGAGGCGGGATCCACAGGCAGCGCTGGCACACTTTGGGCCCGGCGGCCGCGGTATGCAATCGTCAGTCGTCGAGGGCAAGAGGCGGGATACCCCAAAGCAAAAACACGCTCTGGGCCTAGCCCGCCCCGGTGTCTTGGGTGTGCGCGAGGCGGGTTGGGGGCTCGTTTCTATGAGTCTAGCAACCCTAACCTGTCGGGTAAAGAATCACTCATGGAACCTGGACGACGAGGAAGGAAGGAAGAAAGGAGGAGGGAGGAGGAAAAAAGGAAGGCGACGAGAACGCATGGCGGGAAGAAGGAGGGAACGGGACAGGCTTCTCTGCAGACATAAAAGAAAGGAGCTGTGCAAGCGCACCATGAAGATGACGCCAGTGATCATCAGGAGTACTACCTGGCTCGCTGGCGGCACCACAGGAGGAGGAGGAGCAGGAGGAGGAGGATGAGGAGGACGAGGAACAGCAGGAACAGGAGGAGGAGGAGGCGGAGGAGGAGGAGGAGGAGGAGGAGGAGGAGGAGGGAGGGAGGAGGAGAAAGAGGAGGAGAAGGAGGAGGAGGGAGGAGGAGGGAGGGGGAGCGGGATGAGGAGGGAGGAGGGAGGAGGAGGAGGAGGAAGAGGAGGAGGGAGGAGGAAGAACAGGAGGAGGAGGAGGAGGAGGGAGGAGGAACAGGAGGAACAGGAGGTCAGCGCTGACGCTTCGGGTGTGCGCGCACAGTGGCCTGCCGAAGAAAAGGAGGTCAGCGCCCAACGGTCGTCGGAGCCCCGAGCGGAGTAGGCCGCTGGGGCCGCAGTGGACGCCATCGGGGCAGGCCGGGCCGCGGCCGTCCCCGGGAGAGCAGGAAGGCACGGGCTTTTGAATTGAATTCCAAAAGATTGTTTTGGAATTCAACAGACTTTTTTGTTTCGAGCTGAAAACATCACTTTCCTGGGGGGAATTCAGGACCTGAGCTCCCTTCGCTCGTTGAAATCGAAAGCTGTCCCCACTGCCCCGTGTCCCCTCCTCCACCCTCCGACGTCCCAAACTGATGTTCCGCCATCCCATCGCCACCCGCCGCCCCCTTCCTTCCCGCGACCTCCCCTGGCCTCCCTCCTCCCCCTCCCTCTCCCTCTCCGATCCGCTCTCTCGCTCCCACGTCCCCCCCTTCTCCCCTCCCGCCCCCCTCGCCCAAGGACGCCACCTCGAGTGGTCCTGGCAAGTTTCCTATCCTGGGCACAGCATCTTGGCCAATCCGCCCCGCCTGACATGGCCTGGAGAGCGTACGCATGGACGGCTGCTGGGCCCACGGCTCGCCTGGCCCAGATCGGTGCCTGCGCGTCCATACAACGTTGGCGCCCTTCGACCACCTGCCCCAAAGTCTCTTGACCCTGGGGCCCCTGCGGCCCCTGGGATCCATGGAGGCCCCTGGACGTCATTCGAAGCCTCGGGACACCCTCGGAGTCCCCCAAAAAGGGCCCCCAGCGCCGACGAAAAGCCTCGATCCTCGAACATCGGTCCCCAAGGAATTGGGTCCTGATGGGAGACTGGCTTTGAAGCCCGGGGCCTTCACGAAAATCCAGCTCGACACCCTGAACCAATTCTGACGGTGATTCAGAAGAAAACACAAACAGAACTGCAATGCAATAGCCAATCTACGCACACACACAACATTTAACTAACTACCAATAAAATGACTGTCCTGGCCAGCCCTCCGGCAAACCCGAATGTGAACCCCTGACCACCTCCCCAGCCGACCCTCACAAGGCGGAAGCACCACGGGGCGGAGGCGGAGGTGAGGATGAGATGGGAAGAGACAGAGTCCCGAAGACGGTTCTTGGAAGCCTCGCCCAAGCCTCTCAATGGACGCCTCGGAGGGAGCCGGAGCGTCAGACATCTCGCCCTCCGCGTCCTCTGGCGGAGAGGCGCTTGCCAAGCGCTTCCGCCGAGGGAAGGCCGGCCTCCAATGAGGACAAATGCTTCTGTGAGAGCGCAAGAGCGGACCACCTCCAGGACACGCTCCACCCGCAGCCCCTTGCTCCAAGGCAGACCGGCAGCCTTCAAGCCCCAAGGGGAGGAGGAGAAGGCAGATGAAGTGGAGGAGGAGGAGGCGGGAGGAGGAGGGAGGAGGGAGGAGGGAGGAGGAGGAGGAGGGAGGAGGAAGAACAGGAGGAGGAGGAGGAGGAGGAAGGAGGAAGGAGGAGAGAGGAGGAGGGGGGATGGAGGAGGGAGGAGGAGAGATGAGGAAGCGGGGAGGGAGTGAGGGAGGGAGGAAAGGAGGAGGAGGAGGAGGAGGAGGAGGAGGAGGAGGAGGAGGAGGAGAGGAGGAGAGATGGAGGAGAAAGGAGAAACAGGGACGGAACACTGTGGTGCTGAGGTGAATCCATCTTGCCGCTACGCGGCCGAAGGCGCACGAGTCGCCATCCACAGACCAGAGCTACCCAGGTTTGGACCCACACTCAGCGCCCATGCGGTCACGAGCCCATTCGACCACCGAATGAGGCGACCCAACACCGTGCAGGCGGGCAACCATCCTGATGTCCAACACAGGGGCATCTACCCTAGACTGGTGGAAGCTGGTGGCCTCCCGAGTCAGCGCGGGCCCAGGACGCCCCTGTTGGGCCCGCCAGCGGGCCCAACACCCCCCCCCCAACGCCAGCCGAGGGCAGAAGTCCAGTCTTGGAACCTTCCAGCTTCGTGCAGCCAGCCTCCAGCTGGTGCAGGCCCTGGTCAATGCGGGCACTAAACGCATAGCGTCAGCAACGTGCAGCGATCGATGCCCGATCGATGCCGGCGCCTGGGCTCGGGGCGTGCACTGGTTCCAGGGAGGATGATCAGTGCCCGGAGACCCCCAGGCGAGTGGCCCCACGCAGGCAGCCGAGCTGCCCGAGGAACCGCGCCTGCAGGACGGCTGGGGCTCCACCAGGAAGAGGCGCAGCTGCGCGACGGGCTGACCACGGCAGGGCCGAGCCTCCGCGGTCGCTTTACCGCGACACGCTCAAAACAGGAACATAGCAAACCGACGGAGAGCGAGGCGCCACGGTCGAGGCCGTGATTTCCGTGGCGCTCCATGTGACTCGTCGGAGTACTCCCCCGCCCCGTCGGGCGCAAGGCAAGAGCTCGAGGCGGCCCCGCGGAGGCTGTAAGTCGCTGGGCCTTGGACTGCAAGCGCTGCTCCTCCTCCTCCTCCTCTTGGCACAGTTCGCGAGCAACCCCGGCGAAGACGGGGGTCGGGCGGCGAGGCGGTCAGAGGGTTCGGGGGGGCAGGGATGGGGTCGGGGGGGGCCGCCTTCGACAAGGACTCTGACGGAGTCTTCTCCATACAGTCGGACTTGATTGGACAGGACACGCGAGAGGACACAAGACCCTTCCGAGTGCCACATTGCCATAGGAATATAGGAGGCATGGGTCGCGAGCCAAAGGACACAAGGGTATCTTTGATTTGACAGGATCGACCTACGAATCAGTGCCGACTGTAGTGTGGGTGGATGCCTTGACGAACGAAACATACACACACCCATACCCATAGGGAGGTCGGAGGGAGAAAGACTGGCTATGGGTTATGGAAGCGGGTTGTCGGACTCCTGGGGAAGCTCCCGTTCGAGCGGAGACCCCCATCCGACAACACGCGCCCATAGCTCATTCCGTCCCCCCTATGGGTTTGGGTGCGTGCTGATCGTTCGTCATGCCTCTCAAGATACGCTTCCACTTAGAAGCCTGCCAGGCGTCGATGTGTCCCGCAGACTTCTTCAAATAAATATGGGCACTGCAGAGGCGAGCACATACAAACGTACGATGTGCATCGCATGCATATCACGAACTGGGACCTTTCAGGGCAGCTATAGCATGCAAGACAATGTTCGTTCACGGTAATCATATTGAAAAGCCAGACCGTGCTCGGAAGCAATTCCAAAGCCGGAAGCCTCGGGGGAGTGAAAAGTCGTTGCTCGGATGCCCTGAGACTCCGAACACAGCGCCACACACCCGCGACCAACTCGAACAAACACCCCAACCGAGTCCCACGAATTGGTGGCACTAGCACATAGACAACAGGCCCTTCTGACGTGAGGGCAGGGATGCATTGAATGCATGGCCAGCGGCATTGAATGCATGGCCACCTTGCACATCGCATCCACAATGTTTAATATGCCTGTCCACTTCGCCCAGGAGCTGGCTGTCCATAGTGTGTGTCGTGAGAAAGATCTCTTGGCCCCTAGGTCGACCAAGTGGTTGCCCACTTCCTGGAACTGTTCATCTAACAGACCAGGCTCTTGCAACTATTGGTGGGTTTCGATGTTGCCCGCGCGCGCGACAAACCGACAGCCTGGGTCAAGCTTAGCCTCCATAGTGTGACCCGCAGAAGTCTTCCGGAAAGATGGCTGCTCTTCTGTCGTGCTGCTAAACTGGCCAATACGTTAAACAATCAGAATGGATGGCCGATGGTCCATTCAAACACATGACAGGGCCCGTGAACCCAACAAGATCACCAATTTGAGGTTTTTAACCATTGCTCGAGCGAGGACCCTTCCGACAACGGGGCGGGGTGTATGTCTCCTGGGTGTGGGAGTCCCCTTCCAGTGACAGCAAAGGAAAGGGTGCGGTTAGTGATGAACGAGTCGAGCTCAACCAGCAGCTCCGAATTCACAACTAACTGCCTCTTGCTCATGCTGGACTTTATGGCACGTCCACAACTGGTGTTGAAGCGTGTCTCTCATACCGCAGCCGAGAGGACAAGCTTCGGGGTAGTGGTATCCTTCCGAGCGTGCATAGAGCCTGGTCCGAAAAGCCCCCCGCCGAAACAGTCTAACAGTTGCGTTCCGTTGAGGTGAGTTCTTCTTCGAGGCCATGTGCTTCAGGAGCAGGTCCATGCACGCTCGATTAGGGCATAAGAAGAACTGTTCGCCGATCTGTCGCCCCTAGCTGGCGCAGGACGGAGTCGAACAACACCTGCTTCAATATCGTGGGCGTCTGCAGCGTGTGAGGGCGACTTCCAAACCTAAGTCAGTGATTGCTGTGTCAAGGTTCGGCAAAATCCAGCCCAGACGTTTCAGAGATGTTCTCAAGGGCCGAGCCAGGGCCCGAGACAACCCTTCCTGGAAAATAGGCGCCCAAGCGTCACTCAGGACCTGGGGGGGGGCAAGCAAAACGGGTGCACCTGGAACCTGGACTTCAAAATTCCCTCATGCCGCCGAACGATGGGAGCCACCTGAACTAGCCAAGCGTGGCTTTGCTCCAACCTGAGCATGATCGATAATGGTCTGTCGACTGGCTGAGGTTTCATCCTTGACGTGCACGGGCGACAAATTCGGAGGAGCTCGGCTTAGGTCGGGCGTGTCCTCCTACAGGCGGCTTTTGACGAACAACGAAAATAGCCAAACAATGCTTAAGCATCGCCAAAAAACAAAACATGATCCAACACTCGTCTCC